ATACAGTGCCTTGCAAAAGTATTCATACCCCTTGAATTTTTCCACATTTCATCACATTACAACCACAAACTTAAATGTATTTTATTGGGATTTTATGTGATAGACCAACACAAAGTATTGCATAATTGTGAAATGGAAGGAAAATGATACATGGTGTTCAAGATTTTTTACTGAATACATATGAATACTGAATACACACTTTTCTGATTTTTATTTTATTTTATTTTTTCCCCCAAAGCTATTACAATTTAAACTGTTCTGCTTCTTAACATCAAAGATATCGAGCACTGATTCAGGTTTTCATTCTTCACTGTACTCCATCTTTGCCTAAAACTTCAGCACCATGTAAAAAAGGACAGCTAACCAAAGGGACTGTGAGGTCCAGCTGGCGTTTTTATTGAGCTGCAGGATTAATATTAAATATAAAGGACATTTACATTAATGGGGCATGTAAAACTAGAGGAGTTCTTTCATCTACAAGACTACACATCCATCAGGGAATAAGTTACAAGTTTTATTTGCTGCTTTAAAGCGCCTTAGATTTGCATTACCTGCTTATCTACTTTATATTTGACTTGTATTTTGTGGCATTCATGTGGATGGCAAAGTAAGACTTTCATGTACAGGGAAACACGTTTCCTAACTGTGCATATGACAATACACACTTTGACCTTTGACCTGTCACACATTTTAATCGCTTATCCATCAGAGGCAGACGTTTGTGTGCAGGGGGTCAAAGTAACAAAATCCCTGTCTGCCACTCAGAGCTGCTGCCTAACCAGAAAATAAATTTTGTGGCCACAGTCTTAAAGAAAATAAGGCTTTATTGCATAATGAGCAAGTATGACAGCTTCATGAATGTTCGGGGATGAAAAACAAAAAGATTGATACATTGAAAACACATATACAAAACATATGTACACAAACATATCTGGGTTTTGCCAAAAATTTAACATAAGGGGAAAAAATAAAATATAAACAAAGAGTGGAAGGCTGTGTTAGAAAATACTGTCATAAAGAACAGAAGTGCAACAAAACACTTGTCAAGAAAGCATAAAGCTTATCTGAGAATATATACATTGAAATAGAAAACATGCATAGTTTATTATGTTGCAGTATTTTTAGGGTACCAAGTCAAGGAACTATATAAATCATTTGTGGAAATCTTTTCTCACATGCCCATTATGTACAAAGTTACTTTAGACATGACTGGCTTTGCATTAGATTAAGAAAAATAAAAACATATTTCAACCTAACATGGATGAAGAAAATTCTTCAGAGTAATTATATGAACAGTATCAAGAAACTTGGCAACACAATAATCTGATGGGTTTGGATCCGATTATGACAAACCGCTGCCTTTATTTTAGCATAGACGAAGTCACTTTTAAACTACTACCCTTCAGAAATAAACCAAGATATCAGCATTCTCCTACTGCCATACTCCTTACCTGAGAGATGGCTAAATGATTTGAAAAGATTTTATTCTTATAACAAAAAGCAAACAAATACTGATTTAATCTTTGGAGGTCTAAACAAAGATGTAGTTTACCAACCCTACCCCTAAAACAAGGATCAGATAGTTCCTTGTTCCAATAAGGCACGATGATGCTGCATATACAGCATTTTCAGTTTAAGAGCATGGTTTTCTTTTGGTGGCATATGCAAACTGTGAAATTATATAAATGATCTCCAGTTCATTGTACAGACATTTTCTTCAAAATGCTTTCATGTAATAAATGTGATAAGATACATGTGACTCAAAAAACAAGTGATTGTTAAAATACACTTTGTGTGTGTTTTTGCATGTGAAAGGAGATCTTAAAGGATAAGGTCAGTCGTTCTCTAGGTTAACAGTATTTTAAACACTCCTTGTACAGAAATTAAAACCAACAATGATTTGCATCTACTCACTGTTAATATCTGTCAGCCCTGGATTATCATATTTATCTGTGCCATAGACCTCCACTGAAACATTTGTGCACTAGTTGATGTTTCCTCGTTGCAAAACACAAGACCCTAATATTTTTTTTTTTTTTTTTTTTTTTTTTTTTTTAAATGTTACCCCAAAGGCTCCAAACAGCCATAACTTTTTTACAGCGTCTAAAGTAAGCAAGATTCAAGAGCCCATATACAAGATCTCTGGATACTGTTAAATATTAGGGCCATGTTTCTTGTATATGCACTAGGAAGACTTTCCAAAAACTACAGTGAAAATTAAGTTCAAAAGGTTAACACGGTTATCAATGCTGGATTCAATGGCAAAGGTGACCACAATGGTGATAGAAATAAATAAAAACAATTGTTACAACGTTGAAGTAAATATCTGCTGTATTAATAATATGTTAAAAAAGATTTTAGAACAGAATACTTTTGTTTGGCAAACTCTTTCAGAGTGTAGCGTATAGTAATACACTGCTGCCACCTAGTGTTCATGAAGCATAGTGCCCTTTTTAGTAATGGCTAATTAATGAATGAGAAAGGTAGCAGGCAGGCAACCTATAGAAACTGTAAGTGAGATATAGAGAAATCTCCAGAACATAGAGGGCACAGACACAGTGATGCCACCTCACATGCATGGAGGAAATGTGCACACTAGGGTTGTGCAGTAATACAGTATTTTGGGGTATTTAAAAATAGCAACAGTATTCTTTTAATTACCTTCATGAAAAAACATCTGCTGTGTAATGTGCACTGTTCATAATAAATGCCTGAAAAGTGTGTCGATGTCCGGCAGCAGCACCACTGCCTGTTTGAAGATGCTATAAAAGCAATGACAAAATTCCTGTAAATGATGTTAAGCCTAAATTATCAAATAACCTGTCAAAATGATTAACTCATTAATTAGGCGCTCTCATACTTGCGCATGACATGACAGCCTCTTATAGAGATCGTAAGTTGTTATCGTGCCATGTTGAATGTTGGGTAAATGTGCCATTTTGGAAAGATCACACTCATTATCCTTCAGAGATATACAATACATACATTGGTATGTTAATTTAAAAAATAAATACTATCCCATATAGTTACATACAGTAAAGGATACTTCAGATATGTTCAAACGTCCACTTTGGTGTCGAGTCTGAGCGCAGGCACAACAGAAATTGATTCATCTGCAGTGTGTCATCTGCCGACAACAGCTAGCTAGCGTTAGCTCCTGAACCAAGAGCTGAGATTAGAGTGTGGAGTCATTTTTCTGTTGTTCTTGTCTGTTGGGGAGGCAGACAGTAATACCATATACCAGAATATATTTTGGGGAAGATTTAAAGTTGCATTAACTAACTTCTCCTTCTAATTTTCAACCATTAAGGGTGAAGTGAAAATCAAAACGAACTCTAGCAGTATCCCCTCCTGCCCCATCTGTGAAACTAAGTCATATGTGGTAATGCATACACATATGTATACGTACGTCTAATGTTGTTTGTAGTGGATGAATCTGCAGCAACATAAGTTTCAGGCTAGGCTTTGATCATTTGCTAATCCAGGAAAACATGCATTTCTGCTAACTGGACAATAAAACACTAATGTTGCAGTCCAAATTACAACTATAATCAATTGAAATGCTAACGTTAGCCAGTTACAGTACTTGGCGTCTGCCAGGAAGAAAGCCACATCTGCATCAACTTTTAGTGCTTTGGATGTTTTTAATGCTCTCCATCTCTGACATGCCAAACTGATGTTAACTCTGGTTTTACCTTGTTCTTTGTCACACGCTTTCTGTGCTACAGAACACGGCCTCTTGGGTCCAACGGCTCCACTCCCATCCTGGTTTGTATTTGCACAGGGAGCCTCTATGGTCAGTTTTTGAAACAAGCCATACTGGTTTGAAAAGCACATCTTATAACCCGTTTTAAGATGTGCATGGAAAAAGTGCGGTGAAGAGTTTAACAACACTACCAGAGAGGGGTAGAAATAAACACAGGGCCTGAAGATAGCAAAGATAAATTTGTGCTAAATCTTAGTTAATGCACCTTTAAAAGGTATCAAAAATTGGATACTGCCCAACCCTAGCGCACACATTCATGCGCCACACAGAAGGACCAGGTCCGTGACTGAATCCCAGGAGATAAAAGAATAAAAGTGGAACACTAATTAGGAGTAATTGTCATCAGATTCTATACAGGCCAGTCCTTTCCTCAAGGCAGGAAAGGACTGGTGTATAATCATAAACCATACCTGATAACTGCCACATCAAAGCCTCAGTCTCAAAGTGGAGTTGCTTCTAATTGCATCTGCTTTCAACAGATGCTCAGTTATACCTGTTGTACAAGTCCTCATATGAAGTACCACTGTTGTCACCTGGTGCCATTCTGAACTATCATGCAAGGTCAAAGGTCATGGCCCAAAGGCCCGGGCTCAGATGAGGCGGGAGTTTTTGAGGGACTGGATGAGGACCTGGTAGACAAACTTGTACTGGGAGATGGTCTGCACCATCAACATCCTCTGCTGCCTCAGCTCTGACAACATGGTGGGAACCTCCATTGGCTGAAGAAGGAGGAAGAAAAGAGACAAACAAAAGACTGTGATTGGATTAAATTAGAAAAGTAGATCTGTTTTCCTCTGTGCAAGAATAAGGCTACATTAGAAAAGGAGGATTTACTTAGTGAAATCAAAATGGATCCTACCTGGGTGAGAAAGTGTTTACTAAGCGTTGCAAATGTAGCACATCTTTTTAAACAGCTCTGCTTTCAGTTGTTTTCATTTGTTCATTTAAGTTTGATCCTTGGTCCCATCCTCATTTAACTGACTTCACAAAGAATTTTACAAAAATTGTTTTTCATCCAACATAAGATGTGTAGAAAGTTAGGATTGGCATGATGAGACATGTCCAAGAAATGCTGTGATCCTAAAAATGATCTCACCTTGACTTAATCTTAATTACAATCAAACTCTTAAACTTGGGACCTCGATTGCGGCCCTCAAAGCCTCCTGTCCACCCACCTCATTGTGCTCCAAGCAGCTGATCATGAGCTCAGTGAGGATGACCACTCCAGTACGACCCACCCCAGCACTACAGTGCACCACCACAGGAGGATTGAGACTCTTCGAAGTGTCCAGCATGGAGTTAGTGTGTCTCCTTACAGACTGGATCTCCTCTAAGTAGGCTGCCAGAAAGGAGGAGGAGTTAAAGACAAAATGCATTGTGTCTGCCAAGCTGAAAAGAGAATTTCCTCTACACGATTTACTGCCAAAATGCATTGTGTCTGCCAAGCTGAACAGAGGATTTCCTCTACACGGTTTACTGCTGTTGTTGTTGTTCACTTGTAGTATAGTAACACATTTTCAGTGTGTTGCTTGTCTAAAAGAATGAGAATTACATTTAATTGCTTTGAGTGGTCTGTATCACTTCCTGTCGCATCTTAAAATTCACCCAAATGACAACATATAAAATAGTGACAGAAACCCACTCACAGAGAAATCCCACGACATATTCAGGACAGCCCTGCTCAGGCCAGTCAGTGTACTGCAGGTGCCAGACTGTCCTCTCCTGGCCAGACAGCAGGTGTTTGACCTTTAACCCTGTGGTGGCGTAGCAGCCTGAGTCAGTACGGAATTTCGTGGTCACCTTGAACTTGCCGTGAGTGGCCGAGTTGTGCTTAGAGCCCAGTTTGGGCCAATAGCGGTGACTCTTGGACCGTCCACCCTCCTGGATAAAAGACAGGAGGGTTGATTTGATAGAAGAAATAAACAAGAAGAAGAGGATAAAGGGAAACAAATGTCTACAATGAGCAATGACACTCATACATAAACACAAATACACAGGAAAACACCATCATCCTATTTTTCCATACACAGGAAAACACCAGCTGTCAGCAGCTGAAAATGTATGTGAGTGTACCTCCTCAGCAGTAACCATGGCGATGACATTGACCCCCTGCTCCCAGACCATCTGCCAGAAGTCGGCACAGGTGTTGGTTAGCGGGCCCTGGGTGGCAATGTAGTGCCACTCCTCTCCTCTGATCATCACCTGCACAATAAAAGACAAAAACCTGCATATAAACCAAAAATGAATGATGCATATTTTAAAATACTGCCTATTTACAGATGTTAGGAATAATCTCGTTCCCCACTGGGGGGCAGTGTAAACACCTCTTTTCACTCATACTATGAAACCATCACCACCTCTAGCTTCCTTTTGATTCCCTTGTAATAATAATCATGAGGACACACTCGGCATCTTCACTTCACTCCAGCCACAGAGAATCCACAGTGCCATTTCATAATCAGCATGCCCCAGCTTATTCTTCAGGCCACCTTGTGATTGTAAACACAATATTAAATGATGGATGGCTTTTTGTTCGGTGGCAGCTACCTTAAATGAAGGGAGAAGTAAGAAGGTTACACTCTGATAGGCAGCAGCTCTGTGTGGCGATTGCGCTCATACACCAGACCACAACTAGGCGTACACACAAAATGTACACAGCTCTTTGCAACTAAACATGCTTAGCAATAGTGAGAGCAGCTCAGGCTCCCTTAAAAGGGTTTGAAGTTTGGACCACATTCTTTGGGAATTCCACAGGCTCCGTGAGCTTAAAGGCCCAAACAGCCTTCAATAGCTGCTTTTCATCCTTTTCCTTTGAGCCAATCCCTGCTTAGAAATGACCACAACAAAGACTAGCAGAAAGCCCAGTATATCATGTTTATGCTCCCTGTTTGAAATTTGTTGCAACACACGACAACTGACCGACTGTAGCTGTCAGTAAGAGCAACAGAAAATAAACCTGAATCTTGTAAAATAACTGCACTAATTTGACTTTGTCAGTGTTATATTTTTCTCCTTGAAAAGTGACAGATTATTAAATCTGATTTTACATTCAGGACATCGTGTTAGCATAGTAAACATCATAGGAACCATCGGGATGTATAATGTGATATTTCTTTATACTGTATAATGTTGTCCAGTGAAAACCATGCACCTCCAATTTGGGTGATTTTTAATTTTTCAAATAAATTGACTTAACTTCTTAAGCTAAATAAAACATTTAAAAGCCACAGGGTTTTCTGAAAAATGTATTCTCACAAAGCCCAAAGCAGGCCTGTGTTCCGTTGCTCATGAAAAGTTCACATTTTTAAGATCTAGCTTTCCTAGATATAAAATATGCAAGTAAACAGAGAAGCTATCAGTTACAGAAAGTTAAGCACTGTAATCATCCCCAAAATGTACTTTTACACTTTCACGTTTTACCCATGAGCACACCTTGATATGCGAGGCGTTAATGTAACCCGTGTTGTTCTCCTTGTTGGGTACAAGCTCAACGCGATTCTCTTCATAAGGAACGACGTCACGGAAACGGTTGCGCTCTGTGTTTTCGGGCAAAGTTGCTGTGGTGAGAATGCAGTTTGCCCTCTTTTTAGGCACCTGCTCAAACTCAGTGAAGACCTGTTCCCCTTCCAGCTTCAACTCCAAGGTCTTACACTGCAAAGACAGAGAGGAGGAGTGTTAGTCAGTGAATACTAAGCAACACATCATTCAGAGGTTTTTCTTTTGGTCTCCAAAGGGCTTTTATTCGTTTACATTCCACCATATCTAAGAAGCTATTCAGACCAGGAGAATCCAGAAATCTCATTATAATATGTGCCCACATTTCTAATCTCTTGTCATGACACACAGCTAAATGCTCAGTTCAGTATCAAAGAATTCAAAGTATGTCTAAAGCAACACAGCTGTAAAGGAGCAGAATATGCAGTGGTTGTATTCAGTCTAGTGGGGGTTTGTGTTTATTAAGCCAGTCATGTTTGAGAGGGCAGCATCTCTGTCTCTGTGCCTCGCTCGGGTCACATTCTTAACATACCAGTGGGCCTAGAGGTGATAAGCACCACCATGCCGCACGTTCCACAGCTCACTTAGGGCTTGCCCCCTGTTATCTTAGCAACAGTCGGGACAAAGCCTGGGTTTCACACCTCTGCATTCAAAGGGAAAAAAAAAAAAAAAAAAAACAGGCAGTACTTGGGAAATGGATTTCATTAAATTAATCTGATTATCAGAGACTGTTTTTTGAGTTTTAACATGGCAACCACCAGCCAAACATGTTTGGTAACAGGTGAGAAAGTTGTTTGGTTGGTTTATCCTCCAATAATAAAAAGACAATCTGTGCAAGTAGAGTCTGGTCTTTTGGGGATTCTCTAATTTAATAAAAGGATCCTTAATCCAGGATAAAAGTAGTTGTAGGAATCTGGTGTGATGACATTTTCACAGTCAATTTACTTAAGTCAACTTTCCGCGTGTGTGAGTTAAAAAGAATCTTGTGTTGTATCTACAGCACAAATGTTCAAATTATAAGAGTATGTGTGACTAAACCTACAGTTTTCACAGAGGCTTTGGGCAGCGCAACAAAACAGAGGCTCAAAATCATTTCAAACCCAATTGTTTTTATAGTTAAAAGCACATACTAACATAAAAACAAAATAAAAAGAACATTTACAAAATTCAAAATTCAGTTAAAGAAATAAAATCTTGCAGACTCGACAACTCTACACAGTTTCTAGGTGCAAGCACCTTACCCGTTCATCTGTATTAGCTTTGGCGCCTTCCTCCCCAGGACTCTCGGGGACAGGCATTCGGGCCACATAGAGGCCGTTGAGGGCAGCCATCATCAGCGGCCTCTTCATGGAGTCCACAGACATCTTTTGTCTTTCCAGTGTCTTCAGGAGAGAGGAAAATCCAGGTGTCATGGTTACAGGTACCAGCAGCATTGCATGACTTACCAACCTGATGTGGCCTGAGCGCAGTCCGCACACATGCATGATTACTGGTGTATATGTATGTGTGTGTCCTGTTGGTAGGGTAAACCTGGCTGTACCATTCACCTTGTACTCTGTCCAAAGGTGTGAATTGATAGGCCCCGTATATACAAAGCCTGTTAAGAGTAGGCTTGTACTTTCTTATCTGCCTCATTGCCTTCAACTTTTCCTTTCATCCTTGTGTTTCCTTCCTTACATAGTTTCCATTCTTTCAATCTTTTTTTTGTATTCCCACCAAGCTCTTTGGGCCCCTTCGTCTTTACGGCGCACACACTCCCTCTGTCACCCTGACTCTTTCTCTCTCCCAGACTCTGACCCAGATTGCTGAGTCCCTCCTTCCACCAAGGATTAGTTCTCCTAATGCTATTAAACCTCCAGGACTGCACCGGCCTGTCTCCCCTCTTGAGCTCCCTTCTTCCCTGGGGGACAGTCAAAACAACAGCTTGGTGGTCACCAGGGTTATTCTACCAGCTGGTATGAATAACAGATATTAGCTTTGTGAGCTCACATCACACAATTCGCAGCTGGTCACACCAGTCTTGAACAGAGGGGTTTACTGCAACCAAGTGAGGCGATTATATGTATTAACTTATACCTTGACTCTGGTGCTGTTTCAAATGTGTCTTAATAGTGAGCCAACCTACATAAGAACATGCAACCCAAAGAATAATTTAATGGATTTATAATGGCTTTAACTGCGTGGGGGGACTCAGATCCTAGTGCTGCCCTTCCAGGTGCTGAACCCTGGATTATTGCTAATCAGGAGCTATGAAACTAGCAAGAAACAGACTTTAACATTTAGAACTGTACCAGCATGATGGGCTCTTTCGTCTAGTACAGGATGACATTCTGATTTACTGTTATATCTCCTGTTAATTTTCAGGTCAATTAACCTGCTGACTATTTCACAGCTTAATTTAAATTCTGTTGTTCAGTTTGTAAAATGCAATACTGAAAAATGTACATCACAATTTCTTATCAATCTTCAAAATCTGTCAAAAACATCTTATCTCAGTACATACAATACAGAAAACCAACAGAAATTCCTCACATTTAAAATCTGGATGCATCACGTGTTTGCTGATTGTGGGTGATAAATGGTCATAAACACTGCTTTTAAATCATTTTCTGTCACTGGAATAATTTAATCAATGAGTTGAGTTACTGAATGACTGTCTTACCCTTTGAGCGATTTCCCGCTCCACTATGCTGTCTTCCAGGGAGAACATCTCTGACACTGGCCTCTCTTTGACTGGCTCCTTCCTCACCCTCTCCTTCACACTTGTCAGGTCCGGTTCTGAAATGGATGGACCTAAAACTGCACCATTCACCCCACCCTGGTCCCCTCGTGTCAGTGTCCCACCTGCACCAACGCCACATCCAGGCCCACCACCGCCATGACTCTGTCCTATTTTGAAGGCTTGGTCCTGGGCTTGGTTTGGGTCCAGTGGTCCCTGGTTGCTCTGTAGTCTTTGAGTGTGGTTGTGGTGGTGAGTGTGGCTGTGGGTTCGAATCTGAGTGTTGCTAGGAGGTCTAGGAGGACCAGGGTACACTGGAGGGGGTTTGTTGGGCAGCTTGGCCAGAGCAGCCTGGAGCTGAGCACTAATGCTGATGTCCTCATTGAGACCTGGGATCTGAACATCCAGCTCAGGCCTCTCCTCTTCCTCCTCCTCCTCTTCTTCACTCTCACTACTGTGTATGAGCATGGTAGCATTGGAGAGAGTCTTTTGATGCTGATAGGCCACTGCTGCTAGCGGCGCTACAGAGGCCTCTGGTGCTTTCTGAGTAGGCATCTGCATAGGCAGCTCCTTTGGCTGCTGAGGAGGGGGCTGAGGTTGTGGCTGGGGTTGAGGCTGAGGGGTTTGGGGCTGGGGAGGAGGAATGGCCTGAGGCTGAGCTGGCATCACATGTTCTCTAAGAGTATTCCTACGATGCAAGGGAGTATTCATGCCCTTCATCACCATGCCCTCCATTCCTCCTCCTCCTCCCCTCATGCTGCTGATCACCTCCATGCTGTGCCTCTTGCCCAGAGTGCAGCGGTGCTTAGCAGCTGCAGTTAACGGTTCACTAACCTCCTGCAGGGACTGATGCACCACGGCCGAGCTATCCGGCTGGAAGGTCTTAACTGACAGCTGCACCATGCGGGTAACCAGCTCAGGACTGCTGCCCCCAATGCAGCGGTGACGGTGGCTGGCCAGGTCCGGTGTGCTGGTGGCTGGGCGGAAGGAGCTGGATGGGTAAGGTGGAGGAGGGCGTGACACATGGTTTCGCAGCATGTTAGCCGTTGCTGCACAGGTTCCTGTGTTGGTTCCCTGTTGTTTGGTATTTGCCAGCTCAGGTGTGCTGACAGTGTGAGAAATGGAGCTTCCTATGCCTCCACCCCCGCCCCCACCACCATTAACACAAGGTGAATGACAGGGACCCTGGCTGCTGACTGGCCCTCCCTGATGAGGGCCATGGGACACTGGCTTACTGTAGCTGATCTGAAAGGTAGGCAGTCACAAAAAAATACATTGTCAAATGTAGAAAAAAAGAGCAAAGAGCTTAGAAAATTCAACAGTAGTACACTTCATTTAGATAATCCACCTCTACCTGTGGAGTGTAAGGTCCAGGGTTGGGTCCCAGGCCATGATAAGGACCCCTCTCCCTCATTTCTGGCTGGCTATACACCAGTGCTTCAGGCTGGCGGTAAGCACAGGCATTACTGATGTTCAGACTACGTAACGATTGGCTGTGGAGTTCATGGTGAGCAGGCGGCATGTGCCGCTTCTGACGCATGACAGCATCGTACTCAGGCGTGGGCCGGTAGGACGGAGCAATGATGGCGCTATGGCGGTGGCTGGGGATGTAGTCGGGGCGCATAAGCTCACTAGGGATGCTGAGGTTGGAGGACATGGGTGAGGGTGAGATGAAAGTCTGGGAATGATTGAGAGAGCTCAGGCTGGGGCTGCTGTACATGCTTCCGTTGGGTACAGTACCATTACGGAAGGGAAAATCTACTGGGCAGCGGTCCAGACTGGTCTCTGACTTGTAGTAGGGGTCGTCATGGAAAATGCTGTCTACAGAGCAAAAGGGAGAGGAAAAGTTAGTGAGAAAGTAATAAAATCAGTTTAACAGCTCTTCCACAGCTGATGCACTAGAATCCATTTAAGAAAACAAGGATGTAAACTTGTGAGGAAAGCTGATGTTTTACAGACATGCAGTGGTTTCCTTTTAGATGCTGTATGTTTATTGAAGTTCTGTTAGTGCTCAACAGAACATGGTAGACCAGTAAGAGCACATAATTAACAAAGAGGAAGGTGTTCAAGCCTACAAAACAAACTGAAGTCAAAAGACAGACAAGTACAAACAAATTAAATGAAAAATAACATGCAGCTCTAACAGCTGTGAATCTAGATCAATCCTCTAACGGCCATGTGATGAAGAATAACATTTATCATTCCAACTGATATTGACTTCTTCCAGTGAAGGGGGTTCAAATTTTTCCTACAATACCCAAGTTTGTCCCTGATTCTTCCAAAATTTAGCCAGTGCCATACATAAGGTGGTTCTGGTGTTTATCGGTGTGGTAATTCAACTTATAAAGCCATAAGCAATGAAGACTCTTGGTGACATTTAAGGTGTCTCTGATGTGAAAATGTAGTTAACGACCTCACAACAGACTGGATCTGGAATACTCTTCTTCAACCATAATGAAGGAGACAGTTGTATCTGTGCATGTTATTCATTTTAATTAAACAAATACAATATTCTCACAAGTCAAATGATCTTAAGCCCACAAGCAGGCACAATCTCTGTCCACACAGATGGAGCGATGGCTCCAGTCATACTCCAGGATGATCTCACACCCACGCACAGTAGCGCACTCAGACTGTTTTTCCACTTGCTCTGTTTTTTCAAGCCAGCATAAGTGAAGCTGTTTGAATAATACATCAGTGAAAGAGTGAAGCACAAATGAGGTCACTGTTCTGCACCCCAAACATCGAGCTCTAACTGCTCGAGAGACAGTTAAAATGGGACAAATGGTCTATGAGTCACACGCCTGATGGGAACAACACAATTAGCTCCATTCAAAGGCTTCAGTTATTATGAGTGAGGCAAAAATGTGAAGTCACACTGTGGTTAAAGGATGAAGTTTACTCTAAATATGTTTGTGTTTTTCTTTGCGGGCGTCTGTGGTTGACACATACCTTGAGAGCTCTGTGTGTCTTGATAATGCTCTCCATACTGAGAATGCAGTGACTGGAAGTTACAAGACTGGGGCCGGGGCTGAATGAAGAAACACAGCAACACAGTTAAGAAGATGCAATTAATGGTTTCACTCCAGTAAGTTATGTATACCATCCTGATCTTCACATATAGTACTGAAACAGCCTTAAAATGTCACACACTTTATTAATTAATTATTTTTTCAATGTAATTGTCTTTGCACTACAAGGTAAAGCCATTATTTCACTTTTATTAATCTACACATCAGGTGACTGTGACCAACTCAGATCTACCCTAGGGCCAATGGAGTTGTCAACCGCCAGTGCCTGCGGTTCTCCAGACAGACATCTGAGCACAGCTATTGTGCCACATTTAGCCTAGCCATTGTCTGGCCAGCTGGGAGGGAGGTGCACAAATCATTGCCTTCATTGTCATACCGGAAATCAGACCAAGCAACACCCTTGCAAACTTTCCAACAACACCCACCGCACCACCAACGCACTTTAAAACCAAGTCTCCATGACACCATTAAGAGCTGCCCTGAGTGGGAGAACAGGGTCAGCTCTCTAACCACGGTTGTTTTTGTCTTTCATCACATATTCTCCCTCTGTCTTTCTGATGGACCAGAGGCAAGAATGAAAAGACTGTGTCAGTGGCCAGTGATATTAAACCATATCAAAGAGAGCTAATGCGCTACCAGAGAGAGGCGATGAGTCCAGGTGGGTCTCCTCCTGATCGGTGCAGGTGAGTGAGTGGGCCTATGGAGAAACAGACAAAGATGATTTACAAACTACCGGTATCATGAATTCACCAGTTCAAGATTCATTTTCACATAACCATCAAATGGTTGGTGAAATCTTAAACACGAAATGAGAGATGATACTGGATTTAAAAGTTCTAACGGCCTTCAGCCGTGTGTCCTCGAGACTCACTCTGCACAAATCTTGTTCTGTTTGTAGAACTTGTGTCTGGCCGTGAAAAGACGAGCGATGTACTTGGCCATTTCCATATCCTCCTGCAGATACACAGAAAGAAAAACATTGATATTTTAATCAGACATAGCAGTTGTATTTTTGCATTTTAATTTGCCCCCTTAGTTTTCTCTCTGTGTACTCATATCTGGGAATGTGTTTGTGCTTTTTTTTGCTGTTGTTGTTGCACTTCCCACTGAAGACCTTGTACAAAGCACACATGTGCATGTGCTGAGACCACCTGCAGACACAACACTCACCATGTGAAAAATGATGGTGTCGTCTCTGCTTGTTATCTCCACTGTGATGGCTGACTTGTTGTGTGCTATGGTACCAATGTCCTTCCACCTGTCTCACACACAGGACGACACACACACACACACACACACACACACACACACACACACACACACAAATGCAAGGATTTAATTTTCCCATACTAAATTCCTTCTGTTTTTTGCATCTTGATTTATTTGTATTAGTTTCAATACCTAGGCTACAAAAAAAGACAAATATGGAAGGGGGGGGGGGGGGCCCACTTTGTGGGGAAAGGGTG